ATTAATTAAATCTTACAAATATATAATTATTATAAAAAAACTAATATATAATTATACTAATATTATATTTGTAATATACTGTATAATAATATATTTTATTATTAGTTGAAGTATTTTTTTTGTTTAATCAAAATAATTAAGAACAAAAAACTTGTAATAGCTAATAATTTTATAATATTGAAATAGATTTTTAAATTTTAAAATATTTTAAATTAATAAAATTTTATTATTTTTAAATTAAATTTTAAGTTAAAATTTTAAATTTTTAGATTAAAATTATATGGTTACACAAGCTTATAAGCCGCAGCAAACCGGGGGTGTGACAAATAAGCCGCAGCAAGCCGGCTTATTTAGGAACACTAATAATACTAATTGGTTACTATCTGATTATGAGCACGGAGGACGAAATGGACAAATATCTGAATTCCATCTTGATAATTGGCCAGAAAGCGCATACAATGGGTATGACTATAAGTTTGATTTGTTTTTGGTTGGTAAATTGTTTGATCAATTGTTCTTCAATCTTTTCTCGAATGTAAAAGAACTTAGTGACTATTTGAAACAACAGAGATTTAATGATTGTAATGAGGTTTTAGCCCATAAATGGTTTTAAACATGACTTGATTTAGTAGAGACATAACAAATATATTCATGCTTGTCATGAATATTTGCTATTGAAATGATATAATTAGTTTTCATATCGTCGACTAACTTTTGTGACAGAAATTTAAAAAATTTTTTTATAAATAATTTTTATTTACAGCTTTTATTCCAAGGTTCAAGAAAATAAGTAGTTTTGAATATTTATCAAATTTTGGATATACCATTAAATTAATTGATGGCTCTGCAGAACCATAAGTTAGCTGAGCTATTTAAGCCATTATTATATTCCTGGGTCACTTGTAAAAATTTGCCAAATGATTTTTTGACCGATCCGGTTAAGTTATATATTTTGGAAATAATAATAATAAAATTCAGTAACAGATATATCAAATATGTAATTTAATAAGATCAGGTGACTAATATATACTGTATTATATTAGAAAAATGAGTGCTGCCAAGTGAAAACCAGGAATTCTAAAAATAGATTTCTTTAGACAAGAACTTACTAACACTAATATATGATCAAAAAAACAGTATAATTTATTATTCTAGTCAAGTCGGTTAAAAGCCCGCATTCCATTATGTAAAGAAGTCTATTTTTAGAATTTTTGGTTTTCAGTTGGTGGTATCCAAATATGTGATGCTATGAACGAAGTTACATGGAATCCATTTGTCACAAGACTATGACCCGGTCCCATGCCTGGGACTGATGTTGGGTAAATGTGATGTATTGATGACGATCTTGATCTAATTGTTTTGGGTGATGTATCAGTATATTCATTTTGTTAAAATGATATATCGTGTAAGTGTGTTTAATGATATGGGTAAGTATGAAGTCATAGTAGCTGGCCTTTCTTAAAGAGAAAAAGTTAGAATTGGTTCTGCATCTTTTGTCTTTGCTGCTAGCTCAACGAGAGTTCAGCTTTGTTGATTGTATCACGTGGTCTTGAGCGAAGTTAGATTAAGCTTTTTAAAAAATACAAATTAAACTTAAATAAAGCCTAAATAAGATTTAAATAAATAAATATACCTTGTTTAAACCTTTGTTAAGCCTTGTAAATTTTGTCCTTCAATGATGGTGTTGGTGCAAGATAAGAATGAATTGCAGGATGTGTTTCCAGCTTCGTAAGCCGTTGAAAATATTTTGGGTGATGATTTGGAAGAGGTGACTCAACAGGGTCTGGATGGTACTTTGAGTCGCTTGCTGGCAGAAACTTTACATCTGTTGTATAGTAGTGAAGGTTTGTCAGGAGTGGGGTCTAAAAAAGAATTAGTGAAAGATTAGCAGGAAATGTGTTAAGTAAAGCAAAAGAAAGGAAAAGGTGGAGGTCGTTGGTTGAGATAAAGGTGTATAGGATGGTAGGAGTGTTACGTTAGAAGATATGAGTAGTGGAAGTGGTTTTGAAAAGAAGGCTAGTTTGAGTAAAGAGAATCTTAGATCACAGGAGTGGATGTTACCTAATTTGCAGTTTATAGCGATGGAAAGATCTTTGGAAAAAACTATATAGGCGATGATTGGAAAAGCTGTTGAGGAGATTAGGAGGAGTGTTCAAGTGGGTTATGGTTATGAAGAGAGTAAATATTGGCCAAAAGAAAATTTTAATAAGGCCAGAGATTAATTTGAGTATGATGAATGGTGTAAGGTTGGGAGGTATGTGGATAGTGCAATAGTAAATAAAGATTGGGATTTAGTAGGCAAGGTGCGTGATGCAGTAGCTACAAGAGCTTTTATATTAAGAGTAGCTAATAAGGAGGGTTGGCAGGTGGCTGCGGGAATTAAGGATCCTTTAGATGATGATTCTATGGAGACGTTTTTTCAGAAGAAATTGGCTAGTGCTAGACAGTCGGCGAAGTATAAGCATCCTAGAGTGGGGAGTGGTCCCGGGTTTTATAGTCCATCTTTTGTGAATATACCAAGGAGTTTTGGAGGTTTAGCATCGAACCAAGCAATGCAGTGTCCTTTACCAAACTAGCAATTTTTTTAACAGCCTGTTCAATTGGGTTTCAATCCAAGTGGAGTACCTGTTTATGGTGGTGCTGCGCCAGATTTAGATGCTTATCAACATACGTATAAAAATCGGAGTAGTCCGTGGAGTTGTCCCTGGTTTTCTAAAGAGAGTTCTGGACCATATGTTCTGAGTAGACCTGGAAGGCAAAGTAGAAATCCTGGGATTGTTTGTTTTATTTGTAAAGAGAGGGTCATATAGCTTGGGATTGCTCGCAGAAAAAGTTAGGTCAGTCCTTTCGGAAGTCTGATGCGGTAGAGAGAGAGATTGACTATGCTCAGGTGAAGACAAGTCTGAAGGAGAAGAAGGATTCACTTGGAGGTTTCAGTAGATTATTGGAGGAAAGTTATAAAACCAGCAGTGGTGGTGATGTTTTGGTTAGAAAACAAAGTTCTTCTTTTTCCAAAGAGAGTGAGATCTTTAGCCTTAGAGAGGGTGCCAAGGCAGTTCAGTTTTACAAAGGACAAATTGAGTTGGTTAGAGCAGGAGTTAGAAAGGTTACGAAGTGTGAGGGCGGTAAAATTAATTCATGTAGAAAAGAAAAGACCAGATTTCCTTTTGGAGGTAAGCCCAGTGTTTTTGGTGCCAAAAGTCAGTTCAAAAAAGTTTCACTTGGTAATAGATTTAAGGAGATTGAATCATGTTTTGCCGGTGAAAGTGTTTTGTTTTGAGGGTCTCAGAGGTTTGTTAAGGACAATCAGGAAAGATTGGTAAATAATTGTATTCGATTTAAAAGACAGATACCATTATGTGTTGATAGATGATTGGGCTTAACATTTCTTAGATTTTCAGGTAAGAGAGAAATGGTTCCATTATACGGTTCTTCTGTTTGGGCTGTCCCAATTGCCATGGGTCTTTTTGAAAATAATGAGGGCGTTAATAGAGTCTTGGAGGTCGCGAGAGATATTTTGTAACAATTATATTGACAATGTTTGGGTTGCAAGTCTGTCAAAGGAGGAGTTGTTGTCTGTAAGAGAAGAGATAGTAAAGGTTGATTTAGAGGGTGGTGGGTTTGTAAGGGCATTGGACAAGGGGTGTTGGGAGCCGTTGAGGAGGGTAAAAATCTATAGGTTAATAGTGAACACAGAGAAGGCAGTAGTCGAGATTCTGGAAGAGAAAATTCTGAAAGTGTAGCAAGAGTTAGCTGTTATCGAAGACTTGGGGTGATTCTTGTAAGAAGGTTAGCTTCAATAACAGAAAAGATCCAGAGTTTTGCGAGGGCCTTTTTGCTAGCACAAGTGAAGTGCCTAAAGTTCTATGTGATTATAGATGCGGCAAATTGGGCTTGCCGAAAGTGGGACAAGGACGTGGAGTTATCAAGCAGAGCGTTAGAAGATATAAGATAGTTGAGGGAAAATTTAAAGGAGTGGAATGAAAACCGGCTTGGAAGCTAGCTCGTATAAGAGCAGTGTTCGTGAATGTGTCAACAGTAGGTTGGTATAGGGTGTATCAGAGTTACAAGACAGCAGGAAGCCAGCCAAGGCCATTCAAATCGACGGAAATAGCTCAGTTAGAAAGTCTGGCAGCATTGAGGGTGTTGGAGTCTTTTGTGGTGTGGCTAAGAAATTCGTGAGTAACTCTGTTCATAGACAACAGAATAGCATTGAGAACAGTTACCCATGGGGGAAACTGCCCATAGCAGAAAGACATTGCAAGGTTTCTTTGGGAGTTCTGTGTGAAGAACGATATTTGGATTTATGACATCAGATGGGTTCTGAGTGGGAAAAATCCGGCAGATTACCTTACGAGAGTTTGAAATGTAGAGGATTGGTGGTTGGACAATCGAGTGTTTGTGGAGTTGGAGACCAAGTGGGGGCCAGTAACTGTAGATCAGTTTGTGAATTATCAAAACACAAAGAAGGCCTGGTTCAACAGTTTTTACTTTTGCCCAAATTCAGAGACAGTAAACTGTTTCACGCAGGACTAGGGCATGAAGTGAATTATGCATGTCCTCCGTTTGGGCTAATATATCAAGTTCTAATGCATGGGAGTGCAGGGCAAAAATTATGTTGATTCTTCTAGCTTGGGTTTCGGCAATTTGGTGGCCAATGTTTCTAGGATCTCCCAAAGAAGTGGTAGAGCTTCCACCAGCATCAGAAATTATTTTACCAGGTACGTCAGGGCAAAAAGAGCCATGCAAAAATCTGGCTTGGAAGTTACTGGTGGCAAGCATAGATTGGTCAAACTGTTAATAGAGCGAGCAGGTGGTTTGGCTGATCGAGTAGTAGATAGGCAGTATAGAGCTAGATTGAATAAAGCTCAGAGTGTTTTTAAGAGTTTTTGTAGTAGAATTGGAGTAATAGCTTGCCTGGCAAGCATTGATACGGTTAGGTCCTTTTTAGACTGGTTAGAAATAGTAAGCTGGGAGAAACAGGAGAAACCGTCACATCATTCATAGATCCATTACACAATATATAAAAAATTTTTTTATATTGTTTTAAAGTACTTTTTTAAAAAGCTCACATTACTTAACCTACTTTGAAACAGGAGTAGTGCTCTAAATAACTTGAAGGTTTCGTGCTGTACTTTAATAATATCAGTTGAATCCACCTGAATCCAACAACTTTCATATATAGTTTTGCCCATTAAAGATATATATAAAATGAAGGAATGCAATAACTGCCAAGCCACCAAATCTTGTAGATTCCATGCATTGAAGAGTAATAAGTGAAAAGAGGCTAAAGATAACGGTCTAGTGAAGAAAACGTGAGTAGAAGATGTTATCTTATGCAATCCTTGTTATATGGATCTGGTACAAAACCTATTAAGTAGAGATCTCAAGAAACCAAAAATCGTAGAAGAACAGCCTGTGGAGGTGGAAAATGTAGAAGATGCAGAGGAGGTAAGTGTGTTAGAGGAGCTAAGCAATTTAAAATCGATCTTACTAAGACTATTAAGTCTATAGCCAAAATTCTTTATGAGAGAGAGCATATAAAAAAAGAAGCTCACATATATGTTTTTGATGATATACGAGAATTATTTCAAGAAACGGATCCAACTCTTG